ATTAAGGGATCGCCTTTCAAATAAAGTTTTTTTCCTTTGACAAAAAGGCCACTGTTTCGCTCATTGAGAGTGGGTGTGGTTGCTTGCCGAACTGGTAGGTGGTCGCTTGCTCTGGACATATGCTACCGCTGGGGGGATTTCGATTGCTTTGAGACACAAACCAAAGGGTTTTACACCCATTTCGGTGAGTAGTGTTATTAGTCGCACAGGTGGAGGAGCACAGGGCCAGATCGGGACATGAAAGATTGCACATTCAAAACACATTACACGTTTTTAGGCGCAGGCACACGCGACGCCAGCCACCTGCGCCCGATACTGTTACTGTCTTTGACGTCATCGATGAATGCGAACGTATCTCGATAGCTATGGAGTGTCAGCTGAGGCTCTAAGGGTGTGAGTTTTTCTGTTAACCTCTTCGCTACGCATAGTACGGTGAGTTGCGCATGTTGAAAATCAGACGAACTGGCAAACCATCCTTGTGGCCTTTGGTAGACCATACAAACGGGGGGTGGGGTGTGAGTGCCTACTGGTCGAAGGTGTTTGAGGTGACTGTCACTTAAGAAGCCTCCCGTGCGGATATTGAAAGCTAGTTGCTGTCTCAAAAACAGGATCCCCAAATAACAAGTCAGGGAAGACTGATTGAACTCAAACAACTTTACTGTTCAAAAAGCTGTACAGTGGTGCCGCGTACGATAGCCAGCCGTGCAGGCGCAAAAGTGTGGATGTGACAAGTTTAGGCTGTACAATGAGTAATCAATCGGCTGGCACTAATCAAATGAGGCAGGATTATCGATTACCTACAAGGGTAAACGCGGTGAGTTGACATCAAGCATGCAAAAAGGCAATAGCGCGTAGCGAGCGAAGCTCAGCGCACGAAAGGTAGCATGAGTCAGCGCAGTTGCTTTGGGCGACGGATTCCTACACGGAGTCTTCGTAAGCATTCGGTCAGCTGTACCTCTACTTCATCCGCGCAATCTTTTTCTCCACCAGCTTTCTTGAATTGCGGCTGGCCTGATTGTATGGACTGTAGCTTTGTAACGTAATCCTGTATATTCCTTGTAACGACGGCCGTTCTTTTATCCGGTCTAGTGGCCAAAATATCTTCGCTCTCCCGCAGCTCCTTTGACCTCTCTACATGCGTTTTTGTAAGCAATCTCCGGCTGGTTGGTCTCTTATGCAGGTACTGCTGACTAAAATTCACTAGTGTTGGTTTAAAATGCTGGACACTATCTGCGGCGATAGGTTTTAGATCGTAATTTTGGTTGCAGGGACTCTCAAACTGTGTTTCTAATTCTAATTGATTAAGCTTTTGACCAGGCATGCAGAGTTTAGGACCCAGGGATAATGCTTTAAACGTTGTTTTCTCGAGTGTCATATAGGAATATTTGTAAACATACCGATCTGAATAATTGCGGAGCCTTGATTGTAGTTTCATTTCGTGCATCCGTTGAAGTAATGACGATCTCTTTGCGTCTGCACGTTTTCTTCTTATGCTCTAAGTAGATCTGCTAAGTTTTTGTCAGAGTGTCCAGAACGGCAGCGCGTTGGCCCGCGTGACGATCTACTTCTTCCCCCTTTACATGAGTACCTCCCAGCTGATTCTCGGCGTATCTCCTCAGGGTTTCGGTGATAATCCTGTAGGACTACGCCACAGCGCTCCCCCGTAGTCGTTCCGATCCTCGTTTCTATCAATAAAGTCCCCAATAAAATTGGCCAGGACTTTCGTCTCCACAAGTTTGGTATTGAAACGCAGGTATCCATTGAGTGCCTTTAACACCACGGGATCTTTGGATTGTTTTAAAACTGCAAAAATTTGCATCAGGGAACGGTTAGTGAGCCTACGTATGCCTTCGATAAATTCTCATCGGGCCGGTAC